GACTCCTAGTAACTTCCCACGCAGCTTAACCAGGCCAATCATACGGAAACTGCCAGGAACTGGGCTTAAAATCTCTAATCAAAATATACAAGGTGGGGTTGCAGAGATGGTTCTGGGCAGGACTACGGTGGTAATCCCCAGTGCTCCTACAGCCAAAGGGGAAGGGGTGGAAGCAAGAGAACCCCCAAACCTCACAGGCTGTTCACCCTGAAAGAAACAACCACAAACAACAAACACTTCCTGTCTCACACAAGGTAGGAGATGGGACTGGAGAGACGGCTCAGCTGCTGAGAACCCTGGCTGTTCTTGCAGGCGACTTGGGGTTGGTTTTCAGTACACACATGGCAGCTCACAAACATGAGTTGCAGCTCTGAGGGACCTGGCGCCCTCTACTAGCCTCCTAGGGTACTGCATGCACAGTGACCTAACATGCAGACAAGGTGAGAGATGAGGACTGACAGCTGAGTTGTCCTCTGAGCTCCACGCGCGCACCTGCATGCACGCACATACATGCATGCATGCACTTGTGTGCATACATCTGAACCCAATCAGCCTTAAAAGAAGAGGTTACTCTTATCCAGAAACCTTCGGGACTCCAGCAGCACCCCCTCATGGCCCTCCGAGCCCCTAGACTGTAAGAACAGGCTTGCACAGAGTCCCTCAGGAAGAGCTGCTTGAGCGGGATACCATTGTGTTCATTGCTTCTTGAATTTCACTAGGACTTGCTTGGATGTACAAAGATTAGATAATAGTATAGGGGTTCTGTAATGTGGAGGAACCTATCAAAGACTACCAGAATTTAGAGAAAGGTGGGCCATCTTCATGACTTGGTAGAGGGAAGATATTTAAGCTGGGCTCCCAAAAATTCATTAGCATTTTTCCAGCCAGTAGGAGAGAAGGGAAAGAGAATCCCTCAAGGAGAAGTATCCCTGCTCAGGATGGTGTCTTATAATGGTGTGGTGCAGCAGCCATATTGAGACCATGAGGCACCACGAGCACAGGTAGACCAGAAGGATGGAAGGAAGCAGAAGCCTGGATGGACTGATGCTGTGACACCCTCCCCACCCCCCACCCCCCAGTCTCAATAGAGAACTGGTCAGGGCTTGTTGTTGTTGTTGCTGCTGCTGTTTTAAGCACTTGGTCAAATTTCTGTTACTTGGATCTGGAACACCATAGTTCCTACATGGCTCCCTCTGGCCCCTCTTCCCTCACTAAGCTGTAGTTCTATCTTTGGCTCCCAAGCCCTCCCACCTAGAACATTTCTTCCTCCACACAGTAGGTACCCAACTCACAGGTGTTAAAGAGTGAAAAGGGCCACCGACTCCTGAAATGCCAGTATAGGCCATGGCACCTTGCCGGTGGGAAGGATGACTCAGGAGTAAAGCATTTCCTCTGTCAGCTTAAGGACCTGAGTTCAATCCCAGGCACCATGTGTGGGATGTACACGGACATCATAGTGTGTGCCTTAACCCCAGTGTTGAGGGGGGCAAAGCCAGGCAGATGTCTGAGGCTTGCTTACCAGACAGCCAAGATAGCAAGCTCCAAGTTCAGCAAAAGACCCTGCCTCAAAACATAACACAGAGATCAATGGCGGAAATACCCAATACTGACTTCTAACCTGCACATGGGATGCAAAGAGGAGTCACCAGCATGCACACACACACACACACACACACACACACAATTAAACTTTGGCATTTCGATTTGCTTTGCAAATAATTTTTTTCATTAAGCCAAATAACTCTAGCAGTGGCCTAAAAACAAACATTTAAAACAGGCGCAGCAAAAATTGAGGCTCTTCGCCCTGAAAGGAGAGAAGATGTGTTTACCTAGAGAGCACCTGCAGGAGACATTAACATTTCCAAATTAAGGGCGCTTTGCATTTTCGCTGCATTAACACATAACACAGCCATTTAGACATCAGAGGTACACCTCGAGCTTTTCCAGAATGTGTTTGATCTAAGAAAATGAGAAATGTGCACACATGCACGTGCGTGCACACACACACATGCACGCATGCTCGCACCTACATGGACAGTGCTAGGCTCCCACACAGTTCTCTGCCTCTGGTAATGACTCATTTGCCATTATGAATCTTTTTCTGGGGCAGAAAGCCTGCAGATGGAGTAGTGAGTGTGCCCTGCATCTCCCCATCATCAGATGGAGTAGTGAGTGTGTCCTGCATCTCCCCATCATCAGATGGAGTGAAGAGTGTGTCCTGCATCTCCCCGTCATCAGATGGAGTGGTGAGTGTGTCCTGCATCTCCCCATCATCAGATGGAGTAGTGAGTGTGCCCTGCATCTCCCCATCATCAGATGGAGTGGTGAGTGTGTCCTGCATCTCCCCATCATCAGATGGAGTGAAGAGTGTGTCCTGCATCTCCCCGTCATCAGATAGAGTGGTGAGTGTGCCCTGCATCTCCCCATCATCAGATGGAGTACTGAGTGTGCCCTCCATCTCCCCGTCATCAGATGGAGTAGTGTACAAAAGAAACTGCCATGCTTGTGCAATGGAGCCCCTTCATCTCTGTGAAGGAAAGCAGCTGGACACAGGGTTCTGTGCTCTCTCAGCAACAGCTCCCAGACTCCTCCGGCAGCCTCATCTGTACTCGACCTCCCCATCTTCTGGTGGAATCAAAGTCTGAAAGCTGAAGGCTGAACGAGGGCGCTCGGGCTTTCTGTTTGACTCAGAGCCATGGAAGCATTTCCTTATTTGCTGTGTAAATATTAAGAGGCTTTGTCTGGAAGTCTGGGCCTTTACCATCTCTTGAAAGATGGGAGGTCCCGCTTTGGTGTCGCAGATCTGCACAGCATCAGCTGGTGTCCTTTGCTCAAGGTTTGTGAGGTCTCTCCGTTGCTGGTCCCCACCCGAGGCTGGCCCAAGGTTGTGAAGTTTCTCTCCATTGCTAGTCTCCCCCACCCAAGCCAGGCTGGCCCAAGGATGGTGCAAGGTTGTTAGGTTTCTCTAGAGGGCTGGTCCCCCACCCCCACCCCCGAGGCTGGACCAAGGTTGTGCGGTTTCTCTTGGCTGCTGTTTCCCCTCACCCCCACCCCCCACCCACTCCCACTCTCACAGTCCCCACCCCCCTCACCTCTCCACCCCCCACTCCCCCCACCCCCTCTCCAGACTGGCCCAAGGTTATGAGGTTTCTCTCCTTTGCTGGTCCCCGCCCCCAGGATGGCCCCGCCCCCCAGGATGCCCCAAGGTTGTGAGGTCTCTCCATTGCTGGTCCCCGCCCGAAGCTGGCAAACTTCTTCAGATGCTAGTTGCCTTGTGTTCTCAACAGCTGGACAGTTACTCACATAGGTATCTAATCAGAACTGGGAGTGATTTGGCCACGAGGAGAGCATGATGGGTCTTGATGTGGGTGTGTGTCCAGTCTTATGCACCCCCAGCTTCTCCTGCTACATTGCCTCGGTGACCCTTGCTTAATGGTTTGTTCCTTATGTCTTGCTCAGCCTGCTTCATATACACCTAGGACCACCAGCCCAGAGATAGCACCACCCCCAGGGAGCTGGGCCCTCCCACATCAGTCATCAACCAGGAAAATGCACCACAGGCTTGCCCATAGGCCAATCTGGTGGGGGAATTTTCCCAACTGAAGTTCCCTCTTCCAAAATGACTCTAGCTTGTGTCGAGTTGACATAAAACTAGCCAGCACTAGCCTCACCCACTCTACATGGATTTAATATGTATTGAAGTATCATTGTGGATACTCGCTGTGGGCACTGAATACATAATGTGACCCTGGATAATTGAAACCCTGCCCTTTCGAAGGGGCTTAGGAGACCCCACTCATTGCTGAGGCTTTCTAGGCAATTCAGGGTCACTAGCTCGTGAGGCTCCCTCTCTGGGGAGCTACTGACTATTAATACTTGCTGGGGAAGGAAGAGACTTTTCTTCAATGGTGTAACCACTAGTAAAGTACCTGTGCCCCAGTGCTGTGTCCCTGTGGATAGCCTGCATCCATGTTCTAGTAAGTGACCCTAAAGAAACTCATTCATTGAATTACAAAAAGAAAGAAGGGGGAAGGAAGAGAAAGAAGAACAAACGGAACAGGAAATAGGAGAAAGGAGAGAAGAGGAAAAGAACAGGTGGGAAAGTATGGGAAAGGAGGAGAAGGGGAAGGAGGGAGAGGAAGACGAAGGGGAAGCAAAGAGCAAGGAGGGAGAGGAACAGAAATTATGTTGCTCCTGGGAAGCTTCCAGCCTGCAAGGGAGCATCAGAGAGCTGCCATCTCCACACCCTTAACATGAAGCAGTCACTGTATATAAATAGGGTCACTCAGCCCTCTCGGGAGCACTAAGTTCTACCCATTTCACAGAAGAGAAACTGGGGCTCCAAAGGCTATGGAGCATGTGATACAGATGAAAGCCAGTTACCTGCTTATTAGCAGCATGTTCCTGAGAGTCTGGACTTTTGTGATTCCTTCCCCCAACACACACACACACACACACACACACACACACACACACACACACTGGAAATCTGGGCTTCTCCAAGGCTGAGACCACATGGTCAGATCACTGGGCTGGGCTCTTCCCTCCCCATCTGAGAGCCACTGCTCTGTCACTGCTCTGAGGATGGCAAGACCCAACCACAGGGCAGTGCACTCCAGTAGGATCCTCCCATTAAAGCAGCAGAAAGCAACACTATCGCTGAGGCTGTAATGAACTGGCACCCATGCTCCCTATCTCTCCCAAGGACAAAGAATTGTGATGGATATGGAGTGTTTCCAACTCCATCATGCCCTTCCCCTCCCACGGGAAATCCTCCTCTCTCACTCCTGTCAGTATCATTTAAGATGTCTCTGGTCTCTTATTGGACGCTGTTTGTCACCATGTCTGGGAGGACTCTGGCAAGCTAAGAGCTAAGGACCAGAAGATGTTCGACTGTTAGAAAACTTCAGCCATATCTATCCTGCCTTCCAGAAAATAGAAAATACTTTGCGAAGCCTTAGGCCACAGGAACCTAGAGACTGGACCATCTTACTCTACACATGTACAGACTGAGAGAGTGGGATGGAGCAGCACTGCTCCACATCTTCATCTGCATCCCCTGTACCTCGAACCCCAGCATCTGCATCCCCTGTACCTCCATCACCAGCATCTGCATCACTTGTACCTCCATCACCAGCATCTGCATCCCCTGTACCTCCATCACCAGCATCTGCATCCCCTGTACCTCCATCCCCAGCATCTGCATCCCCTGTACCTCGAACCCCAGCATCTGCATCCCCTGTACCTCCATCACCAGCATCTGCATCCCCTGTAACTCCATCCCCAGCATCTGCATCCTCTGTACCTCCAACCCCAGCATCTGCATTCCCTGTACCTTCATCCCCAGCATCTGCATCCCTTGTACCTCCATCCCCAGCATCTGCATCCCTTGTACCTCTAACCGCTAGCATCTGCATCCCCTGTACCTCCAACCCCAGCATCTGCATGCTGCACCTCCAACCCCAGCATCTACATCCCCTGTACCTCCATCCCCAGCATCTGCATCCCCTGTACCTCCAACCCCAGCATCTGCATCCCCTGTACCTCGAACCCCAGCATCTGCATCCCCTGTACCTCCATCACCAGCATCTGCATCCCCTGTACCTCCATCCCCAGCATCTGCATCCCCTGTACCTCCAACCCCAGCATCTGCATGCTGCACCTTCATCCCCAACATCTGCATCCCTTGTACCTCCATCCCCAGCATCTGCATCCCTTGTACCTCCATCACCAGCATCTGCATCCCCTGTACCTCCATCCCCAGCATCTGCATCCCTTGTACCTCCAACCCCAGCATCTGCATCCCCTGTATCTCCAAACCCAGTATGTGCATCCCCTGCACCTCCATCGCTTGCACCTCCATCCCATGCACCTCCAATCCCAACATCTGCATCCCCTGCACCTCCAAACACAACAAGTACATCTCCTGCACCTCTAATCCCAGCATCTGCATCCCCTGTACCTCCATCCCCTGCACCTCCATCCCCAGCATCTGCATCTGACTTCCGGATTCCATGTCCCTTGTTATATGACATCCCTAAAGTGACAAGCCTCTCCAGACAGGAACTGGATGATTGAGGTTGCTGGAGATCAATGGGAGAAAGAGAGAGGAGAGAGACTACGAAAAGGCAGAATGAACCATGTCCTAAGATCAGCTTGACCATCATTGTATGTGAGTGTGTGAATGAATGACACTTGTGTGTTTGTTTCCCAGAGGACAGCGTAGCCTGTAGAGCTGTAGTTAACAGTTGTGAGCTGCCCGATGTGGTTGGTGCTAGTAATTGAACTCAGGTCCTCTGGAAGAGCAGCCAGCACTCTTACGAACCATCTCTCCAAACAGGATAATACATTTTTAAAGCATCAAACTGTATGTTTGCAAGTTGAATTCTATGGTGTGTTAATTACATACGAATAAAGGCTTTTTAAAAAATCAAGCACAACTACTTCTACTCTTGGGCAAGCTGCCTCCTGAATGGGTCCGGGAAGTAGAAGGCAGTCAGGATCTCAGGATGCTACACTGATTTCGAGTCATCAGATCAAGGGGGTGGGGATACAAATCAGATCCAAATTTCCAGGTGGGGAAGAAGGAAGGTGGGATGGGTAGTCAGGTTCAGGAGGCCACTGTTGGGTAGATTCTCTGAGACAAACATGGGAAAGACAATGGCCACCTCTACTTCAGCACGCAAGAAAGAGGTTCTAACACTGTCACAATATGAATCTCTGATGAACCCAAGAATAACACTGGTCCATGAGTCAATCAGCCTTGAGCGAGCCCCCATACATAGTAGGTAACACTTGGGATGATGTACACTTGCCACACTCAACCTAGAGCAAGATACCCAGAGGAAACCTTGAAAACATTAGGATTCAAGCCCACTGCTAGAAAAGAAGACCCCAGAATGTTAACTAATCCCTTTTCATTCCCAGGATGAGGCTAAAATTCTTTTTAGTGTGGGATATCCCCGTGTCTGGGAACTCACTATGGCTAACGGTAGCTCCTCCTACCTTGAAGTGACTAAGACTATTAGAAAGATCATATTGATTTGAAATCTATCTCACCAGAGCTTCCTACCTCTGCCTTCATCCTAATCCGATCTACTCCTGGGAATCACAGGAATGTATTCATCCAAAGGGTATCACCGAGCATCCTGTAACCACGTTACAGATGTAACCACGTGTGCATCTCTTCATGTGGTGTGCCAGCCTCTCAGTCCCAGAAGGGCTACTGTGGAGACACGAAAGATTAGCCACTTAAATTCAATATAAATTGATTGAACTAATTGTTCTCCTGAAATAGGAGTGGGCTGAAATCCCTTCTGAGGTGGTTTTCATAGTGAGAGAGAGCAGGATGGATGCATGGAGGAGCACCCCGAATTAGGTAACATCTAACTCTATATGACCTCGAAAGTCAATCAGAACTGAAAATTTCTAGACTCAGGGACAAAGAGCACAAAAGCAAGTCCACAGGAAGGAACACCGTTGAGCAGTAATGGGGAACTTTGTCACACGGACAATCAGAAATTTTCAGAGGTGCAGAGATGGCTCAGTGGGTAAAGTGAGGACTGAGGTCAGAGACGGCCCAGTGACTGTGGTGGTTTGAAAGAAAATGGCCCCCAAAGGGAGTGGCACTATTCGGAGGTGTGGCCTTGTTGGGGTGGATGTGACCTTTGTTGGAAGAAGTGTGTCACTGTGGGGGAGGGCTTTGAGGTCTCCTATGCTCAAGCTACTCCTAAACCATTTCCTGCTGCCTGCAAGATATAGGACTCTGAGCTACTTCCATGTCTGCCTGCACACTGCAGTGTCTCGCCATGATGATACTGGACTAAACTTTTGAACTGTAATCCAGACCCAGTTAAATGCTTTCCTTTAGAAGAGTTGCTTTGGTCAAGGTTTCTTTCAGCAGCAGAAACCCTAAGACAGTGGGTTTGAGAATGAAGGTTGAGGTGGCTCAGAGGGTGAAGTGCTCACCAAGCGTGTGTGAGGATGGGATGACCTTAGGTGTCAGCATCTACACACACAAGGTCTTCACCAATCGCAACAGCCCAGGATCAGGCTAGGGCCCATCCGTGGATGAATGAATACGTGGCGGGTATAAACAGAGGGGTTTAATTTTAACCGTAAAGAAGAACAAAAGATAAATACTAACTGCAAGAAAATGGATGGAACTGCAGCTCAGCACGTTAAGGGAAATAAGCCAGGCTCAGGACACAGATACATCCTGTCTTCTCTCTCGTGTGTGGGATCTAGTCCTAAAAAGTAAAGACTGGAAGACTGGGGATGTAGCTCAGTGGCAGAATGCCAGCCCAGCCTGCATGAGGCTCTGGGTTTAATCCGCAGCACCACCAAAGGGGTGGGGGGAGATGAGGGAAAGGAGACAGAAGAAGAGAAAGCAGAGAAAGACAGGATAAGGAAGGAGATTGGAAAGAGGAAGAATACCAGAAGAAGAGGAAAGGGGATGAGAGAGAGTGATGGAGTAGGTCAACATGATCAAAGTAATTTATCTATTCTTGGAAATCTTATAATAAAAGCCAATATTTTGTGGTTAATATATGACATGGCTTAGGGATGGTATAGCCATCTCGGTCTACAGAAGCACACTATGATGTCCCTGCAGAGGCAAACTCACAGAATAATACATACCTCAGGGTGTGTCCCCATCAGTAGGCCCTGCATGACGGTGGAAGAATGGTGTGAGCAAACACTGCCAGTACAAGCTTGCTTTGAAAAAAGCAGGGACAGTGGGTGGCTCAGGGGGGAAAAGCCACCAAGCTTGAACACCTGTAGGAGAGAACTGGCTGCCACAAGCTGTTCTGACCCCACTTCTGTGTGCTGTGGCACGCACACACAAACACACATGCACAAATAAATACGAAAATAAAGAGAGAACTCAGGGCAGACATGAAGACGCAGTTTCTAAGTAATTATCATATATTTATAGTACTATGCCTGGGAGAGCATTCTAGCACATGCTCGTAGCTGTAGTTACTGAACAGTGAAATGAGAAGACACATATATTTGATTCTTTTTTAATTTTTAATTATTTTTAGATTAACATAAAAGTCCGATTTTATTACAGCATCTTGTCTACATGTACTATTTTGCTTTGTTCTCAGTTACTCCCCTGCCTAAATGTTTTCTTCTTAATTCTTTTTTAATCCTTAATTTTATTTTGTTTATGTTTATGGGTGTTTTTGCTTGCATGTGTGTCTGTGTGCTGTGTTCGTGTCATGCCCATGGAGGCCAGAAGAGGGAGTCAGATGCCCCCGCCCCGGAACTGGAGTTACAGACAGTTGTGAGTTGCCATGTCAGCGCTGGAATCCAAACCCAGGTCTTCTGCAAGAGCAGCCAGTGCCATCTCTCCAGTGTCTCCCCAACTCTTTCCTGTATCTGCATTTATACCCAAAGTTCCTTAAATGACCATGTGCCATTTCCTCCCCCCCTCAAATAAAAGCAGTTTTACTATGTAAGAAATAAAACAGTGGAAAATTTCCAGTCACTTTGGCACCTCTGGGGACCAGTTGGGCCCTTGGTGGACTTCTTGTGACAAAAGAGAACTGGACCTAAGCAGCATCCCAGAGTTGTCACAGAGGTAAAACCCGAAAATGCAGGTGAGGAACTTGGAAATTTGTAAATCAGTGTACAGTGTTAGCTGTTGTCAACATTATAACTCACAATTACTTCATCTGTCTCAGAGCAGAGAGGCAGAATCCATAACAAGGTAGCACGGGGTTTGACATGGGAACTCAGAAAATACAAGCGTGCGCTAAGAATAGAAAGCTGAAGTCCATAAAAGTCCTGAAGGGATGTTCGCGAGCGAGCTCAGCAAGCTTGGGGAAATGCTTAACAAGAAGCCAAGAGAGAGGAAAAAAAAGCTTACAAGGTAACCAGGTGTTAACGGTGCTTCCTGCCTAACAAGCCACACACACAAGGTTCTGTCTTCGTTTTGTTTTAAAAAGGAAGTCTTGCCGGGCATGACAGCTGAGATCTGTAAGCCCAGCACTTGGGAAGCCAAGACAGAATGATCATAGGTTCAAAGGTAGGCTGGGGAGATGGCTTGGTGGGTAGGGTGCTTGCTCATGCCATACAAGCATGAGGACCCAGATTCGATCCTAGAATCCACATTAAAACAATGGGTGTGTGGTATGTGCTTACCACCTCAGTACTGGTGAGGTGGAGACACAGACCCCGGTTCTGCTCAGCTCTAGACCTCAGTGAAATCAGGAAGACCCACGAGAGACTGTTGTCTCAAGAAATAGTGGTGGGAGTGGGTAGAGAGACTCTGAGTTCAGGTCCCCAGAATGCATGTAAAAAGTCAAGAGAGTAGAAACAGGCAGTTACAGAACAAGGGCATGCATACACATATGCACACGTACACATGGGTGCGTACACACACACAGTCTAAGGCCAT